ACTGATCCAACACTCGACGCGGTCGATTCCCGTGGTCGCAGGTTAACTTACCCTATCAAGGTACACTTATCAATCAAATATAATGGCCCCGGGGGGTCCGCAAGTCAATAGAATTCAACCACAGATATTCTGGAGCCCTTCACTCCCTCTGCGCGCTAAGCGAGGTAACAACTGAGACTAGTAGTCACCGTCACGGGCCGGAGGGATGAGGTACACCCCCCCCTTGGTTCAATCTTGGAACTTCACAACGCAAGCAGAGACAAGGCCACATGGCACAGAAAAAGAGAGCAAACGAAAAAAAGAGGAACTAAAAGAAAACATTAGTCTAGACTAGGGAAAGAGAACATGAAATAAAAATCTGCATAGTCTAGTCGCTGTATTATGCGTCAACCACTGCGGTATCAACCACTGCCGGGAAGCATCGCTAGCACGCGCAATCGGGACAGGCCCGAGAGCAACAGCGCCGGATAGCCACAACAACCAACCCACGACCAACACATAATCCGGCTCATGAATCCGTGCTATAGATGCATAGACTACATATTTATGTAGCTCTGCCAACATGTTGGTTGGAAACATCCTCTCACCAACTCGCCAGCGAAGACGCTCGCGGTGAGGGACCCTTGCTGGAAGCTCGTCAGCCCCCACTCCGCGGCGACGCACGGCACGAGGTAGCTCAGCAGGGTGACCTCGATCCCGTCGGCGCCGATCGCCAGCCCGACTGCGGTCTTCATTAGCGTCACGAACTTGTTGTTGCCTCTGGAGGCCATGAGGATCTGGCCAATCGTCACAGATGGTTTTTTGCAATAGAATGATGCACGTGCACTATGGATCGGTAAGGAGAACCCACGGGAATCTGGTTGATCTAGACTAGTCTGTCGAAAGATACTGAAAGATAGTCTACACCACCGGCGAGCCAGCCATACGTGACATGCATGGCCTTCGCGATGGACAAGTCCGAACTAAATGTGACATCTTTAAGACAAGGCAGACCACCTACAGCAGCACGACCAACCTCTGTGAGCAGCAGTAAGTAGCAGCAGGTGCACCTGCACCAACAAGGGCAAACATCTATTGTAGATATGCATGGGCGAAACTCCTGTTGTACGTGCATGCTACGCATGTTGTACAGCAGTCTACATTTTTCCGCAGTGTAATGTCAAATGGATTCACGCACCTCCTCCGTCGTGGAAGGCCCCAAAGGAACCTTTTTCCGAGAGTCTATCGCCATGATAGCTGCACCTCACAGCAGCAGCAGCTGTTTGTGTGATACCAGGTGTGTGCTTCCCGCGGGTTGACCGCTGCTGTTGTTTTCGAAAGCGTGAACCGTGCTTGTTGGTGTCTCGGGTTTCTCCGTCGGTCCCAGTCCCTATTACGAAAACGCCTCGCGAACCACGATCGGCAACCTCGAAAAAAAAAGGAAATGGACAAAAAAAGAGGGTACACCCACGCCATTCTCGGACCAAAATGGGTACTCGAAAATCTAGCGCGCGCGCCCTCCCATTCAAGGCAAACCCCCAAACGACTCAAAACCCCGTTCTGACACCTGGGCGACACAGCCAGGGACAACACACAGCACGGGCATCGATTTTTTCCCACGTTCAGGCACACATTCGGCCCTAATAATACCGCAGAGGCGCGCAAGGCCTCACCAGAGTGCCCACTTCTCTCGGACATCGCAGTGAGTAGAGTAAACCAGGGTATTAACGAACACCACCTANGGAGGCTACCCCCCCAGGCTGGTGGTGCGGCCGTTCCACTAGTCTAATTATTTATTTTATTTTATTTTATTTGTTTCTGATTATATTTTGTTTTCTTGTATTTTATCGCTCTGCTGACCCTTGGGGTCCATTTTATTTTGGTATACCTTTTCTAGGTACGTTAGCCTGTGACCACGGAAATTGGCCGAGTCGAGTGATGGATTAGTACGGAGAGATTGAGACAGAAGGAGGTACTGGATAGAGAGACCGGGATGGTTTTTAATGTGAAGCCAACAACAACAACAACCCCCCCTTTAACGAACACTTTTTTCAAATGCACGTCCCTCGGCGCACAATGCGCGGAGCCCCCCAATTTTTTTTGAAATCTTCAGCTTTCCGTTAGCTTTCGTTTGAGCACCTCCGCGTGTCGATCGGGTCAAGCACTCCCGAGATACAGCACAGCCCTCACCCACACCCCTTATGTGGGGCATCTTTGCCCTTTTCGGGGTCCTGCTGCTAAGCATGGGACGTAAGAG